GTTGCGGAGTTGGGATCGGGAATGGGAGCGGGAGATCGGGGGACTAGCGGATAGCGGGGAAGGGACGGGGAGATCGAGGTCGGGGGCGGGGAAAGATCGTTGGGGGTCGGGGGGGGAAGGAAGGAAGAAGAGGAAGATAAGGAGGAGGAGGAGGAGAAGAAGAAGAAGAAGAAGAAGAAGAAGAAGAAGAAGAATCGGGGGGGGGAAGAATAATAAAAGAAAGAGAAGAGAAAAAGAAAAGAACGAAGGTAATTGGAAGAAGAAGAAGAAAGAAGAAGATAAGAGGAAGAAACAAGAAGAAGAAGAAGAAAGGAAAAAAAAGAAAATTAAAAAAAGAAAAATTGTCATCGATTACTTATCTGCGCGGAGGTAGCAACGACGATGACAAGGATGGCACGGCGCGGCGACGAGGACGACAGGCACGGCGATGGCGACGTGGCATGACGACGATGATCGAGACGGTGGTGATGATGACGTGGCACGACGACGACAATCGTGACGATGACGATGATGACGTGGCATGTCGGCAACGATCACGATGATGATGTGGCGCTACAACGACGATCACGACGATGATGCTGATGATGGCCAGGTGGTGACGACGAAGCAGGGTGGGTTGGGCGGGTTCAAACCGCTCCGATACCAGTGTGACGAGTTCGAGGTTGAGGGAGACAGGGAGAGCCGAGGGAGAGGAGAGAGAGGGAGAGAGTGAGAGCACACACACACACTCACTCACTTGACACGACTGAGGGACTCGACGGAGGCAGACACAGTGGCAAAGACACAAAGTCGAAGTCTTGGATTCCGAATGCCGAAACAGGGGCAAGTCACACTGAGTACGAGTACAGCAGCTGAAAACTGGTCCGAGACCGGTCCCCGTACTGTACGGGGAGCCGGTATAAGTACCGGTGACACGTACGGTACCAGGGGCATTTCCGCAAAAGCCCCGAGGGCAGAACTGAAAAATGCGGTATTTGAAAGTGGCGCCTGAATTGCAGCATGGCGCCAGTTGTCCAAAATCCGACGGTTCCAAAGGAGGGGTTTGGAAAAAAGGGTGCCAGGCCGAAAACGGAATGCAGCAGAAACAGCAAAAAAGATAGACCAGGGATCGAGCTCTGGCGGAGTCCGTAACAGTGTGTGTGTGACCCGCAAGGGTACTTGCTTGTTTGGAGGCCCGTAGGGCCGGTACTTACCTGTGGCCGTGACATTGGGGATTGCAGTGGGGGAAACACACTCAAGTGGCGGGGCACGAGGCCCGCTACACTTAGGACAGTGGGAAAACACTCAAGTAGCAGGTAGGCCGGTACCAGACCAAGTAGAAGTAGATGTGCTGGGTACTCGAGGCCGAGCAGAAGAAGACAAAACTTGGCATTTTTAGAGGCCCAGTAGTTGTAGGCTAGGTCTAGGCCGGTACCAGCCCAACGAGTCTGAGTCTAGGGCCTGTACGGGCAATATCAGAGTCTGCTACGATGTTTCCCTCCGAAAGGGAGGAGGTACTGGTTGCTTGGAGGCCGCGGGGTCTAGGAAGCCACTGCCCAAGAGGCAAGTAGGCCGCTATATCTCCAGGAGGAGCAAAGTGCTCCTCCTCATTCTTCGGTGTGCAAGTTTGGCGACACACTGCTTGGAGTGTTGGCTGGAGGAGCGGTAGGCATTACAGCACTGCTAGGAGGAAGGAGACTGGGAGCTCCCACCTCGGCTATGGTGGAGCTCTACCGATAGGAGGAGGAGGAAGAAGAGGGCTAGGAGGGAGAGCGGCGATGTTCCTTCCTGGCTATGGTGGGCAGCATCTTCATCACCTCGTTAGGCGCTGCATCTGGAAGGCCCTAGTTGGGGTTGTGCCGTATCAAGAAGGCTTCAAGGTGGGGACAGGCATGGCGGCCTGAACAGCAGCGAGCATAGCTGCTTTGCGTTGTCCTATGCACAGCAGGCCGAGGCCCTAGTAGTCAGCCATAACCTTGGCCTTAATGAAGAGGAAGAAGAAGGGTGGCCATGGCTATGGTGGACCTCATGTTGTGCCTGCAATAGAAGAGGGATTCGGACATTGATTCTGGTCCAGCCATTCAACATTATCGTTGTTATTTAATGTTTGAATAAGAGGGGAGGAGAAAAGGAGGAGGAGAGTGGTTGGTGAAGAAGAAGGGAATTATCATTGGTCTTCGCTGGTGTACATCTTCTTCTTCTTCTTTCCCTCTCTCTCCTCTCAAGTTCATTAATTTCTTTTTGCAATTGGACGGCATTGTACTTTCTGATGAATGTGTACTTCGAAATTGGCCAGGATCGTAACACATGACTGTGCCAGACTGTTTCATCGGGCTTTCAGCGATTCATCAGGAGCGGGGTGTGTGTGTGTGTGTGTGTGTGTGTTTTGTCATGTTCGCTATACACTACTTCACAAAGAAAAAAGCATGACTGTGCCAGACTGTTTTGTCGGGCTTTCAGCGATTTCATCAGGAGCGGTGTGTGTGTGTACGTGTGTGTGTGTGTGTGTGTGTGTTTGTGTGTGTGTGGGTGTGTGGAAGAGTGTGTGTGCGTGTGTGGAAAAGAGTGTGTGTGTGTGTGTGGGTGTGTGTGTGTGTGTGTGTGTGTG